CTCTGTGAGCTGTGAAAGAACTTGCGAAGTTTTTATAATCTGTAAATAGTCCCCAACCACATAACCACAGAGCCACTCACCCACACACCCACTCACCCACTCACCCACACATGCATGGCTTCTCAGAGTTATGGGCTTGGATTTAATATTGGCAACAAGTACTCGGAGGAGCAGCTTAAAGGCGACAACTTGTGTGTCATACGCGACGCAACTAACAACTTACTTAAACCAACAAACAAACTGCAGAGAAAACACACACACACACATACGGCCAAACACACACACACACACATACGCAAACAGTGTCATGTGACACTCAAAAGGCCCAAAGCAACAGCAGCAGCAGCTGAGCGACATGAACGTGCAGTTGGCAGTCAGCTAAATAGGTTGAAGGATAGGGTGGTGGTGGTAGTGGTGGTGGTGGTGGCAGTGGGGTAAGGGGTAGGGGGTAGGTGCTGGCCGTTACACTTTCTGTCTGCCTCTTGGCGAATGGGGGAGCCCAAGCTGCACTTGGGCGCACTAATTACGTAAACTCTGCACGTTTTGCCATGCTGTGTGCTCCGATGCCCCACTGCCTCGCCGCTGCCTGAGTGGTTAAATGCTGCAGTAATAGCGGCAACATGTAACGCGACAGTTGGCTGGCGGTGGCACAAAAGTTAAAACATTGCGGCAGCAATAAAAACAGCATTCGCTTTGGCTTTAGCTTCGGGCTTAGCCCAGCCCAGCTGGGGGTGGCTTAGCTCTGCTGGCCATGGCTTTGGCTGCGCAACTGTTTAACTGATGGCTCCCAGATCTGTGCCACATGGCCAGCCACAGCTCCACCAAAGTCAATGTCTGAGGTTGGCAGCAACCGCGTCCAGCGCCAGCATAAGCAACGTAATGAGAAATGCATCAGCGGCGCAAAATAGTTTGGTTTTGCGGTAGCAGCAGGACGCTGCAAGGACTCCAGTCTGCAGTCAATAATAATTACAGCTGCAATCGCYAACAACATGTGCAACATGTGTATTAACTGACTTAAATAATGACAACGGTCAATTAAAATGGCAGCAGGGCATAATTGGGGCACTGGAATGGTATATACTACCCAGAGCTACCCAGAAATAGCGTAAATTGTAGCAATGGAATAGTTCAGGTTAAACTAGAGTAGATGAGAACCTGAACCTAAATGTGTAATTACAATATCAAAAGGGCAACAGAGTACAAAGCAAAGGAAAACGTTAAGGCAGCAGCTGGGCAAAAGAAATGCGAGAGGTAAGAAAAGTGAAAAGCGAGTTGGCTCTTAATACATTAATATAGAAACTGCAAGACTCAACTTATTAAAAAGTCATTTAATTATTGCTAAAAAGGCAAGCAGAAACAAATTAAAGCCAAGGGCTCTTTTAGCTGACTCTTTGATATTAAACTCTCGCTCTGTTCGATCAAAGTATTCAATTGCCATAATTAATTAAAATTATACAAAGAGAAAATAATTATAGCAAACGCATTTRAAAATCTGAAAGGCATTTCTTTTCATTTAACTAGCTTTAACTGAACTTATAATTACAGACGTAATTGCATACATCGTTTTCTAGTAAACTGGCGTAATGTCTTTGACGAAGGTGTATTTGATTCCTTGCCAAGTAAATAGTTATTTGCTGGATTTTCATTGAAAATTGTAGAGTTCTAACATGGTTAAAGCGTTTTACCCACTTTTATAAATTATAGATGGGTTTTCATGGCTTCTGCTTTGCCTTTACGCCCGCTGCCATTGAATGGCCTTCAGGTGTGTCCATTTGACTGTGGCAGAATTGCAAATTCACAGCTAGCAGTCATGCAATGGCTTCCACAAACAGCCATATCCTGCATAGAAGGCGCTGACTGGGAATGGGGCAGCTGGAAGAGGTGCTGCCCCATGTCCATGACAAGCATTTGATTTGCAACTAACGACACGAAGTTTTTTTTTTCTTTATATACATATACATATACTGTAATGTATCGATCTTATGTATGAATGCAGCGGGCGTTAACTTCTCTCTTCGAATTTCAGGCCCCCCRTTGGGCGCCATAAAATCTATGTAACGAGCGTACTCGAGTATGAAAGCGATCTTCGTGCATTCGCATGTTTACATATATACATATATACACATATAGCTATTCACATACATGTATACATACATACATACATCAACATACATCAACATACACAAGACGTGGATCGGGTAGTGGCGGGCGGAATCCTCTGGTTCCCTTAGCTCTGTCGGTGGTGGGGTGGGTCTTGCCATACCTTCACCAATACACACAAACTTTAAAATTTTTAGGATTCCTGTACAAAACAAACATTCGGACAACAAGAAAAACGAAACAAACACGGACAGTTAGAAAGACGCGGAAGCCGAGGTGGTGTTGGCTTCTCGCTGTCTTTACCCAAACCCAACCATGATCTTCAGCTTTAAATTGTTTATGAAGATCCCCTAATAAAGATTGCCTCGACTCTCTCTCTCTTCTA